AGTGAAAGGATAGTACAAAGTCCGCCATGTTTCACGCACAGTCTGACGTTTGCTTATGGATTTTCTCATAGGAGAAAAGCATTTTCTCAAAGAGCTACAGAGTCGCCGTCAACGCCAATAGCGGGGCGCTGTTTACTAAAAATGAACACATGAATAATACTCACGTAACATTTGAAAATGGTCTATCAACTTATGTACACAAAACTTGTTAAGCCTTTTTCGCGCGAACCGAATACGCTCACGCAAACTAACAACACCATCGGGCAGAGGAAATTCTCCCCTTCCCGATAGTGCTCTTTGTTTGCGTGGGCGTACTTCGGTTCTCGTGAAAAGGACCTAGCAAATTATTTACAAAAGTTGATAGGCCCTTTTCAAATGTTACGCGAGCATTATTCAGGGGCCCGCTGTTGTGTCAAAAAAATTTCAGTATATGAACCAAACTTCACCCGTGCACAGGTCTATTGGTCCCAAGTACATCTATAAGCGAACCCCATTCTAGTCGAAATTCTAGTCGAAATTCTAGTACTACACTTTGTCTGTTTTGATTCGCTATGAAAGTTTGACAGATAAAATGAGGGGTTCGTGGATTTTCTTATGTTTCGAAGGGTGCATCGATTAGCTTGGGGCCGAAGAGAGTACACAGCAAAAAAAAAATGTAATATCGATCAACGTAATTCAAGCTGATGTATGAAATAATGATGTAATAGCAAAACGCAGATACAATATTACATCAATGGATGTAATTTTGTTCGCAAAATCGATGTACATTGTACAATGTGATATTACACAACCGATGGATTGACCTGGTTGCAGCAGTTTCGATGTAATATTCAACAACTTTTTTTGCTGTGTACCAGAGTTGAGTCAAAAAGTTGAGCATGTTTCTTCGGGACCTTCTAGTCTTAGAGTTACCTCTATGCCACTACCGCACGTTACACAACAGTAACCGAGAGGTGCACCTCAGGTCGTTTCCGGAAGCACCATTCAGCGTCACGGAGTTGAAGCATTGCTGCTATATCAGAACGTGCTGTTTCAAACGGTTACCGAGATCCATTCGATTATATACGAAGTGAATGCCCGAGCGGATTCGATTCTGAACAATCAGACCATATTATACTATTGGAAATGTCTCACAGTTATCTTCGAAATTACTACGCACTGTTTGAAGTTTAAGAAAATTATGAAAGCTCACTTTTTGTTGGCCATATTTTGTGTGGCACGCACAGAGCTTAAAATTATTGACTGCCTAGGCTGAGTGTGAAGCAAACCCCACACGCATCAATATATTGACGCGAAGGGGAATTATTGACAATAATATTGATGATGTGAATTCATAAATATTGTCAATCTCGATATATTGACGTCAATATAGCATGTATTGACAATACGATTATTGTCAATAAAAGCAATCGTGTAGGGTTCACTTGAAAGCACTGCACAATTCAATCCATTGCTCTGTGCAGACCGTTTGTACCAAACGGTAAAGGACGAGGCAATGAAAGAGCCTACAAAAACTTTTAGTCACTCCCGAGCAGACGACGCACACCGCTTCCATTCACTCACACAGCATGTAATTGAGTCATTTTTCCATAGAAAATGCACGCTCAGTCATCCAAAACAAATATTGGGTACCATCACGGCAGAATAAACGTGTTGACTGAGCTACTGACTGAGTGCTCGGCTGTCAGTGACTCGTTTACCTCTGAATCATTCAGACTCTCACGAGGCAGTGAATGATGAGGCAGATGGCAGTTCATATTCATATCAAAATGACTCAATGAACCTGACTGTTTTGCGCACTGGGCACGCATCATTTTACAGGTATTTTTCAATATCTGAGAAATTAGGACACTTCTGAATAATTACGCACGAAATAGACGCAACCAAAATTCAAGACCAACAATTGAAATGGCCTTAACTCCATTTTGTAAACAAACCTTGTGAGGCCATTTTCTCGCGATCCGAACTCCGCAAAGGCAAACCAAAATAATGAACAGGTAGCCGATTGTGGTTTAGGTTTGCGAGAAAATGGCCTTACAAGGTTTGTTTACAAAATGGAGTTCAGGCCATTTCAATTGTTGGTCTTGAATTGTAATCAGAAGAGATTTGCTTGTGCTGTCAAAGTGCAGAAAATTTTCTTCAATCATGGCCATCTTGATCTTTACCATAATGGTATAATCGTAATATGTCAGAAAGGGGTGACCCAAATGTTATGAAGCGTAATAACGGACCCATCGTTCACTTCATCCAGAACTTCTTGTCCAACCGCACATTCCGAGTCGCTATCGGCAACACCAAATCCCGGCTTTTCCCCGAGGAAATGGGTGTCCCACAAGGATCGGTTATCGCCGTGGCGATGAACGGAGTCTTCCGTCAACTACCGAAAAACATATATGTGTTCGTCTACGCCGATGACATCCTCATCGTCACCACCGGACCCACGTACAAGGATGAGAGTTCAAGCGGCAGTCTCCGCCGTCGCCAGGTGGGCCCACTCAGTAGGCTTTGAATTATCAGCCTCTAAAAGCATCAGGTGCCATGCCTGCCCTTCTCGACACAGAATTAGCGGACCACCGATCAAAATCGACGACCAGTCCATACCTCTGAAGAAGACCGTCCGAGTTCTGGGAGTTCTCGTTGACCGATTCCTCAACTTTGAACAGCATTTCAGTAAAGTCAAGAAAAATTGCCGCAGCCGAGTGAATCTCATCCGGACCATTTCCCGACAGAATAGATTGAACAACCGCAGCATTCGTTTTCACGTGGCGAGTGCAATTATCGACAGTCGCCTTCTATACGGGTTGGAGATGACCTGCATCGCAACGGATAAGCTTTTAGCTACGTTAGCATCAGTCTACAACACCTACGTCCGGATTGTCTCTGGCATACTGCATGCATCGACGCAGGCATCCTGTCTTTCCGCTTCCGTATAACCGCAGCTATCGCAGCCAAAGCCGCTGCTTTCATCTCGAAGACATCCGGAAATCAAGGGATCTTCCTCCTCGACGAGGGGAACAGACTCCTCCGCACGGCTGCCAACAAAGATCTCCCCCCAGTGGCCAAGGTCCACTGACATGGAGACAAATGCTGGCAAACACCATTAACGAACATCGAAAGCCGGATTAAGGAAACGTTCAAAACCGGAGACAATTCCGTGGCCATGATGCTTTTATGCACCGTACATGCTATACCAGTATACAGGGGGGTGCCATCACAGCATCTTTACCAGCAGTTAAAATAAATTCTGTGTAATCCACGAATGTGAAACAGGGCGAGCCACAGTGACATCACCGGTAGGGTAACGTATCGGCGAAAACCCATCTCAACATTAATGTGGTGTTTACATTTGTGCGGATTTGCTAGCACTAGTGTACTAGCACTATGCAACAATGTAGCCAGCATAATGTAAACAGGACATCAGCGTCTACCCAGCATGAGATTTCAGGAGCTACTGAAATTCGTGCTAGTTGACTATAGTACACTAGCGCTAGCGAATCCGCACAAATGTAAACACAATAATTAATTAGCTGCCATAAGCGAAGAGACAAGAGAGGGGGGGGGGGGCGTGTGTCGATTCATAGATAGCTGTAACTTAAGGTGGTTAATTCGAATATAAGTAAAATATAGGTAAAATTAGTAAGAAATTACCTGATTGTTTATGATGCCTGACTATACCGTGATGTTGTTGTTGGCGCTCCCATCATGGCGTTTATTTCCTTATCAGGGAATCCCTCGAATTTCGTTGGATTGAGGCCATCGCTGCTGCTATCGTCTGACACTGTTCCATCGATCGCTTCGTACTCAGATTCAACCATTGTATCATACAGTTTGTAGGTGGCGTTTTGAAATTGTGTTCTGTTATTTGCCATCTCTTTCCAGAAATTCAAGGAACGGCCCGATCTCTTGATATATCGGCGACCAACTTTTTTCTTTCCTGTGATTTATGATCGTTGTCTTCTTCAAAACTGCATCGTCTTGATCTAAAGAAAAGAAAAACGCCACTCGATCAAGTCAAATTCAAAGGTAGTACCTGCGTGATGTCGCATTCCAAAAGTGTTGAACCAATTTTTTTTTGCAGCCATTAGACTCAATTATCTATAGTTAAATTCAGAGTCAATTCATAGTTAAAATCATAATTCTAAACTACACAATTATTTAATTTTGGTTTGTAGTTAAATTCCAACAATCACTAGTATGCATCTTTCAAAATGTAAAGATACAGACCTGGGATCTGGATGCAGTTAAGCAATCCTCAAGGTTATGCCAATGCCTAGGGACATTTTCCCTAAAATTATAAAATGCTGTACTTAATCATTTATTATCAATTCACAACAAAAACAAATATGTATGGTAGTGATTTACTTGATAAATGCTATTACACACGGGTTCACATGCACTTTTGGTCCACATCATCACTGATCTGGCAACATTAGTGTGAATCTTTCCAATGAGATAAAGATCCAGATCAGCCCTGAGACCTGGTAGCCTAATCAAACTACCACAAGATTTTGCCAATGCCCAGGGGATTGACGAAAATCATAAAATTTGATGAACATACCGAAAAGTAACAACATTTTGAACTTTCATGGGGAGACAAAAAAATCATGGCGTATTATTTATGACCATTCGAGCATATGGCGTCCAAACACTATGAAATGGCGGAAATTAAATGCTGGATTGGAACCTCAACAAGTCGATGGGAATTTGACCTGAGATCAAAGCAAAAGCAAGTACCGGCCCAGGATAGTTCACTTTGGTACTTTGCACCACTTGAAAACAAGTTTCCAATCAAATAATTACCTAGAGTAATAGAGTTTACCATTTGCAAGTCTCTAGTAGCCATTGCCATTGTCAATATCGAAAGAGCTCCGAAGTTAATTCTGTTAAAGATGGTTGATCCGTCATTCGATAATTATTTTTAAATCCAAGACGACGTATAGTTGAAGATGTTCAAAACAATATATGGCTTTCTTTCCGCACGTTCATTAACCTGAAAGAAGTTTTTGTAAAAATTTATTTGTTAAAAGAATATTCAATTTAATAAATTACAAGCTAACGCTTATTATTCATCTGTATTTTGTTCATATTCTTTTGTTTTACTTCACTCTTTCCTATAGCTTTCACATATCTTGCTGTTACACTCCCATCGGCTCATTACTAACAACAAAATTATATTCTTTTTCCCAAAAAACATGAAAAAAATACACAAACCGAAAAGTAACAGAGTTAATCCGTTTGTCAGGTTTGCCAATTTTGTCTTCTGCCCAAACCTCAACTTTCTAGAAATAAGTAGTGTTTTGTTGGGATGTGTTTTTATATATAATCTGTCTTGTGTGTGTGTGTGTATGTGTGAAGTTTCATTTTGTCCTTTCCAGAATTATAATTTCTCGAAAACTACAATCCGACAAGCGACAGAATTTTTTTTCCCTATTCTAACGACTATCATTCTCTTGATCAATTATGAAAATGCTATCTCTTCGTGGCTCGCCATTCACACCGCCGAAGATGAAGAAAGTCTACCTCTCACCAAATTGTTTTAATACTTGTTAGAAGAAGGATTTCTCATTTAATCTTTTGCTTAAGGTTTCCTGTTATTAGCCTAACTGTTGATTCTTTATGCGTTAATATATTTACAAGGCTCTTTTTATGCTCCTATGGTTACTTATGCCTAGCTTCTTACGATTTGTTTTCAATATTAACAGTTAATGCTTACGGATAGTACTTTTCGGTGAAGAATTTCTTCGATTTTTTACAATTAAAAAAAAAATTAAAAATAATAGACCACCTATCGCTTGTGTGCCGAATATTCTCTTTCTCCAACTATTTTTTTTTTTGCAATGCGAAAAAACATACTCTGCACTCCTACTAACACTGCATGCAAACCGAAATCGGTCCATTTTCCCACAGAAGCAAATAATGTATTTGACGAACGGTTCCAGAACTAAACGAAAATGTATTCTTGTGTCGCTGCTCTCTTCTAATTCTATTAGAATAGAATAACTAAACTATTTTCAGTATTTATGTATTGTAAATGTTCAGTAGTTAGCGCATATCAGCTTACCTACAAAAGTAGATTCGATGAGATTGTTTCCATTGTTATTCCTTTTCCTAACACAAGTACTATGTTTAAGCATGTTTTTCCTTTTCTTTTTACATGCCTTGTCACAGCATAGACAATGCAAGCGGGAGGGGAGAATTTTTAGAACCTTATACCCTACTCGATCTGTACATCAGTTTCTGTTTCTCGTAAATTTTGTTGACTTTCTCTCCGAAATTCGATTCCAAAGAAGTAAACAAAGGAAAACAGAAGGAAATCAGAAGTAGAAAAGGTTAGTGCTATTGGTCCGATGGCGAATCAATGCTTCCAGTTGGCACCACAGATTTGGACTTTGAAAAGTTCACAAAGAACTTTTCACCACACTGCTCAAGATAAGCAACATTGTAAAGTAGTTTCCAATTTCAAGAGGGCGACAGCGGGAGATTTCACATCTATAGTGGGGTGCACAGTTCCCGAAAACGGAACTAAGCGAAACGATTCCATTCCCAATGGAAAAAAGTACATCATTTATCCACCAAAATAAACCATCACTCTCCCGTCGGCGCTAAAAGAATGAACGAATAATGAACGGAATCGAAACATAAAAAAGACACAGCTTTCCTTAATTACACATACGAACCTAGATAAACGACGTAACAAATCCCTTACTTTTACTCAATGTACTTTTTCTTATTTAAAATTTGTTTTTGTACAAATTAATTCGATTTGAACTCTACACGAAACGATTGTTTGCCTTGCAGCTGGACAAAGCCCCGATGTCGAACTAAAAACAAAAAGTCTTTAATTGATCCTTACCAGATTGCTCACTCATCATTTCACAGAAGCGGCTGATGTCGACGGCACCTTCGGAGGGGGAGCACCGGTATTTTTCGCCGGCGTTGGTTCCCTCGTTCCGGTTTTTGCTGATTCAGAGGTGCTATTGTTAATATTACTATTATTACTAATGCTACTTCTACTGCTGCTGCTGCTGCCGGTGTGGTTAATGTTGTTGCTGTGAGCATTACTACTACTGTTACCACCGGAACCGATGGTGGCTTCCGTCCCGCTGGGAGCTTTCCCGGTTTCCGTCGACAATGATGACTGTTGCAACCGTTCCTCCTCCTGTTGCTTCCGCAGCCTAACGCAGGGGACGCACAGCGTCAGGACATGTTCTCGTATCCGCGTGAGCTCGTTGGTGTCGTACTCGTGCGTCCAGTTGGCAACCATGGCTAGATTATCCCGTTGCTGCTGCGTTAGATACGGATTCGGGTGGCCCTCGGGGCTGCGCGCTCCGCAGCGATTACATATAGAACAGACCGTGCAGTGCCATCGACCTGTGAAAACAAAATTATATTTAATCGCTATTGATTAGAACGAAACAGTATGCGCACACGGCGGACAACAGTGGGCTGGTTATTTAGAGCGGATGCCAAAAGCAGTATTCAACCACAAACGATTAGTTCAAATAAAAGACCTTTTTTGGTTGACTCCTCGGTTGAAATTAACCATAATATCTTTGATGCTAATCCATGAGATCTGGGGTTGATCAATAATATCTTTGAATATAAGTTCAGTTCACAGCTGTTTTACAGCCTTTTTTATGAACTCAACCTAGTAGTCCTCTTCAGTTGACTCATAAGATCTCTTAACCTTATTAACATAACTTAATCCATAAACCTAAATTGTTAAATTTACGTGATAAAAATCTAGAACTGACTCTTCCTTCTACTCATAAGCTGATTCATAAAGCCTCTGACATATGGACGAGGCCTAATTAACCCCTGACGAGTTTCGCGCAAATTCGACTATTTAGCAAATTTAGCAATGCCTTAAAAAACTATTCGGTACTGAAAAACTTCGAATATTTAAAAAATATAAGGTTGTGTCTTAGAATGTACGTGCCAGTGCAGTTTCCTTCGGTTTTGGAAGAATGCCCGTTACGATTTAAGTCCCACTAAAACCAAAACTAAAACCAGTTTCATACGGGTAAGTGAATTCTGAATGGAACTGTTCTCCATCCAACACTTCCGCTATTCGCTTAACAGTGCTATGTGAATAGAACATGGGACTGTTATGCGAATAGCGACATAACAGGTCTTGCCGATCTGCAGTATAACCTTCTACGCTGCTATCTATTCGAGCAGTCAAGTTAAGCACTGCCGCTCATCGCAAGTCGGTCCTATTTGCGTTCCTGTCAAACCTGAGTTTTTCAATGGAAGTGTTTGCTAATGACCCTTAGATTCGTTATACTGCATTGAAAAGTTATTAAAAAACAGCCAAACGAGTTGTCCCATTACATAAGATGCAATACCGATGTAGCTTCATGTAGTTTTCATGTAAATACATAGCTTCCATTGGAAACGCACATGATTTTCAACCATAATTAAAATTAATGGAATTCATCTGAAATCACATAACATTTATGCGATCACTTACACGAGCTAGTAGGGTAACATCCTGAGAACAGTAACTTGACCTCTCGACGATTGAAATTCAGGATGGAACTGATATGCGATCACTTTGCTCGATGGGACACACTGACTTGATGTTGTTTTCACATTTTTCAAAGTCCGTAGTTTTACTACATTATTATGGAAGAAATGTTGCTATCTCGAAATTGCATATGGGACTGATATGCGATTATAGGCAGTGCCTGGAATCTAGAAAACTTTTCAATTTATTAATTTAAAAAAAATGCTTGACCTAAGCTGAAAACCAGCGGAAAATTTTACGAGATCACGGACTAAGATGATTTCTAGACTAACATTTTCCCTGAATGTTGGACATTCAAGGATTTATAAAAATTGTTCCGATTTTAAGCGCTGGAAAAAAAGTATCAAGATTATAGGATGTTGAGACACTGGTAAGATTTCGGAAATAGAAATGGATATAAATTTCAGGATTTGGACAAACTTTCAAACACTGACTTTTTTTTAGAGCTTAAAAGAAAGGAAACAAATTTAAATCTGAACTATGACAAAAATTCAAGACTATGGAACTGTATGACTCTGAGGATGGGACAATTATGCGTCCATCGGTAGTGTAACAGCCCAGAAAACAAGTTATATTACTCGATATCGATAAAACAATCGTAGTCACAGAAGAATCTTTTACGGTAGCCTTAAAAACAAGTGCTTTATGTGTCTCTTAGAACTCCATCGATTAATTTCTGTTCTAACAAAAAAATGGCATCGACCGTTTGATGGACGATGAAGAATTATTAAGTAAAACTACAAAACAGCAGAACATACTGAGTGGTAATTTATAAGATCTGTTGTACAACGGCAGCATAATGCGACTATTTATAAACAACGTAGAATATTTGTGATCAATTTTAGACCATCACCTCCCTCTCGTAGCATATTATTACTAACCTAAAACATGTCCGTTATCTATTTATCAAATGCTCCTTCATTTATACCTTTCCCCAAAACAACATCCCAATTTCTGATGGATATTATAGTCTGAAGCTAAACAACTTACCATCGGGAACATTGCGCAGTCCAATGCAGGTCAGGTGGAATCCCCGGTCGCACTGATCACAAAAGACCATCTTCCGGTTGGCGGTGGTCGTGGTCGTGGTTGTTGTGGTGGCGGTGGTGGTGGTAGCCGCGGTGGCTGCGATTGGACTGTCAGCCGTGGCAATAGACGCATTCTGCCGGCGGTGGCATTTTTGGCAGGACTTGCACTCGGAACATTGCCACGGGTACTCCGAGGCACGCTTGAACATCTTTGCCGACATGTCGATGCAGGATGGATGTGCTGAAATAATAATGGTTCGTAGTCGTAAATTTGATCGGTTATAAAAGGAATTAGGGTCCAAAATAGCGCATACCTCTTCGCCTGCAGATTGAACAGCGAATGAATCGTTCCGGTTTGTGGTGTTGATTTTTGTTCTGCGGTCCCAGGCAGATCGCGCATAGATACGGATTCATTTTAGGTTTGCTTGCTTCCTCCTCGGATTTGGAGGATGTGCCCGATAACGAGGGTGTTGCATTCGTTTTCGGAGGAGGCGGTCTGAACCTGCTGTTGGTAGCAGTGCAATTTAGAGTTGATTTAGTACTCGGTGTTCTAATCAGTGGTAAGTCAGATGACTGCAATCGAATTTAAAAGATTCAGAAAATGGTTCCCTAACCGCCGATATATCGACCGATACTTACATCAGAATCCACCGAGCTGCTTCCAGAAACTGTATCTGAATCAGATTCGCTTCCATCATCGCTGTCGTCGCTGTCACTGCTCGAATCATCATCATCACTGCTACTACCACTAGTGCTGCTGCCGTCGCTCTCCGAGGCCACTTCTGCCAGTAGCTTGCGATATCGATCCGAGTGTAAAATTTCTTGTAGCTGGAACGGATTCAACAGCGCGGTATTGATTGGATAACAACTGTAGAAGAGTTCCATTTGTTAGAAATATGCCATCATTGAAAATTGAAATCCACTTCGATACTTACGCCAACTCCTCCGGCGTGTACGGACGATAGTATTCCGAGAATTGACCTGGCACCAGCGCAACCGGGTAGTGCTTCTCCGGGCCGGCAGGCTCGGTTTGCAACCGTTGCATCCGGGGTATTTGCACCACATACGTTTGGAGATCCATACAAGACCGGCGGGTTTCCTTCCGTCTAAAAGTAGAACGTTGTGGTTGGTATACCAGCCTAATATTTAATTACTAAGGAAACTTACTCTTTATTCATGCTGATATTCCAGTTGGCGGCCGACTGGATGGCTTTGTCCTTGAGCATCTGGCTCCGGTCAAGACCATCGATGGAGATTGCAGCCGCCGCCGAAGACTTTTGCAGGTACTTTTGTCGATCGCGGTAATGCTTTTCTCGCTGGTACCGTTTGTACTCTTCGTACTTTTCCGGATAATCGTTGCACATGATGTCCAGAATTTCCGATGCGTACACCGCGGTCAGACCTAAATCACACATTTTTTCCGATGCGAGACCCCGTTCCATAATGTAATTACGTTCCTCCATTTCCACAGGTCGTCGCATCAGATCCGGGTATTTCCGCTTGAAGCTCTTCACTCCCAGATATTCAGCGATCTGCTCTTGGATCATGAAACTATCGCCACCACCTCGGGGATTAGCTGCCGTCGGTAGGGGCCACTCGTACTCTGCCAACATCTCTACGGAGAATTCCGTCCGCCTATTCGTTTGCAGGAAATAATATTAAGTACTGACACAAACGTCACTTCATCTTCCTACTCACCCATTAACATCCACCACTTCCATCTTGGCCTTCGGTTTCCGAGAGCTGCCAGTGGTGGTCGTCAGGATCGTTGGTATGGTACTGTTGTCCTGCGTTACGCTGGCACTGCTGAGGTACGAACTTTGGGATTCCTCGTTGAAACCTCCGGGACCACCGGTACTAATGAGCCGCATCGGAGTGGTAAAGTTGAAATCTCCACTCATTCGGGTGTCCTCTTCGAACACTTGCAGCCCGGAGGAGTTGTTATTGCTGGCGGTGAGGGGCGTCGACAGTTGCAGTCTCCGCCGGTGAATGTCCTGGTGGTTGAGGAAAAAGGACGGTTTTGATTAAAATTAGTATTCAACAGTACAGAAAGATCGTCATTACGAGAAACTCTGGGAAACCTGACTACCACAGTCAATTAAAATCCAGTGGATTGCGGAAGAGATAAGCTCAATGAGATATCTCATTGTTCCTTACCTAGATCATTCTGGAGGGGGTCCGGCCCCCTATGCACCTCCATTAGCTACGGCAATGATAACGGGACCCGCTCCATAACAAGCCCACTATATCTGATATCCAAATCTACGATTTAAGTTAAGAATCTTTCGAATTCTCTTGCAACCTCCTTTCAACATTCTATTCGGAAGTTTCTACTGGAATTTTTTCAGAGGTCACTTCACTATGGCTTTCCCTTTAATTTCGACGGAAGGTTTTTTTTTACCTCTTCTGGACGAATCTTCCAAATTATCCTATAACTCTCTACCGGCTGCCCTCAGAAGTCTAACTGGCATACCCTGGAAGTGTGTTAAGACTTTTCCCGGGTGATTGTTTTCGCCTTTTTTCAGGAGCATATCCCAACTTCTTCTGAAAGTTTACTACGAACAATTTCCCAGAAAGGTTTTCCTTGCTGACAATGACTGTTTTTTAGTAAAAAATGTATATATGTGACATGCCTTGTGTAAACAAAATACCGATTTCCCGAGAAAGCGAACCACCCAAGAAGCAATTTTGGTTTTATCATAGTATTGTAGACTAAGATTTGGTCTTGAAGAATGCTACACTACTTCTGACACAAGTTGCAGCAACTTGAGTAAGACTGAATTTAGTTACACAAAAGTGACCACATCCTTTCTGCGACAAATGATGTACGAGGACTTCCAGATCAGAGTTGTTCAAATCTTCAAAATATCAGAGAAACTGCAAGGTGAAATTTCGCAGATGTTCATCAACACTGCCTCAGAATGTAGATTGTAAATGTATTATTTAAGTAGGTATCTGAGGTGTAAATGGTGAGCTGGAAGGATGACAAATCGAACACCATCGTCGATCACGACACCACGGACGGAGCCGGGAAATTAGAACAAAAAAAAAATTAACTCTTCATGAACGATAGGACACACCACCACAATGTGTAACATGAATAAAACAAAAGAGAAACAACATGTGAGAAGCCATGTGTGCAGGCGCCCCCATCCACCACCCATAGCTTGCTATATAGTTGACAGGAAAAAAAAAAAGAGCATACGACAACCTATTACTCAGCCTGCTTCGATCGACGCCCGTCCGGTTGTCGATTCGTCAGTGTCACCCATCGTCATCGGAAGTTCCGATAAATTTTTCGTTATCCATCGAACAAAAACGGATACCCCTATATAGAAAAGTGAGCGAGCGAAAAGAAAGGGGTTCGACTGGTTTTCTGCTTATTGCTTCTTCCTCGCTCCTGGAAGCACATACCACACCGCAAACACTCGATCGAAAGGTCGTCGAATAGGTGGGTGATTCACGAAGCAGGCAGGAAGCAGGAAGCAGAGGAGCGTGCGGTTAATGAGGGCTCTCTCTCGCGCTATACAAGTATGTTGTGCCTATATTTTGTTCATTTTTTACTCGGTTCAGTTTTCCGAATGTCTGTCTGTCTGTCGGTATACGACAAGCAACGATGATGATGATGATGATGACCTAAACGATGCGCTTGCTTGTGTTATATTATACTTTCCTGCATCACTCAAACCTGCAACAGTCAAAGACAGCCAGAAGAGTGCGCAGAGCATCAAAGATCGAAGCAAGTCATGAGGGAGAATGTACACAAGGCGGGTTACACTGACGGTCAAAAGTGAGGCAACGTTGGCTGTTGGCCTGAGAGCTCTCAAGAGATAATTATGATTCATTGTATGGAAACCAAAATCAGGCTAAAATGGTAGGTATACTAGCATGTTTTCATGTGTGTTATGAAACACTGCTCACAAAGAGAGGGGAAACAAAGTGTATACTCAAGTGCAATGATAATTTCACACACCCTATTGCTCAGCAGTTATCTGGCCTACTGCAGTCTGGGAACTTGGTCCGACATTGGCATGGAAATGCAACGCGGCATCAATACAGTTGAAGGCAAAAATAAGGCACACTGGGGTAATCAATAGTCATAGTTTGGAATAATTTTCCAATGTTTTTTTTTAATGTCAGAAAATAAAACTTGTTTTGCTTTACAATTTTAAAACCATCACACATTTAAAGTAATATTTTTCCCCTAAATTCCCTCAGTCAGTGCATGCTAGTGAATGTAGAACAAGCTGAGTGTGATGGTGTGTGCGAGAGCCGTCTTTGCTTGTGGGTAGCTTGTCACCATATTATTTCTGATTGTCGGAGCTGATGACTACCCTACCCTACAACGCATTATTATTGCTTTTGCTCTATCATCAAAGCATCAGAGCGGCGAGGTTTTGCTAATTTATCGCGGCATGTCCGATGCTTGACGATTTCTTGAAAACTCGCGCGCAGCAAAGCATTTTTATACTAGCTTGCTAACTCACTCACTCTAATTCATTCAGTATGGCTCGTTCACATGTTGGTATTATTATCGCACATTTATACAACACACAACCAAAGATGGCCATGAGGAACACCCCGCGAAGCAGGCAGAGTTGTATGTGTTCGTTCCACTGACTCCGCGAAAGCGAAGCAAATTATGACGATTGGCAAAGAATAATCGTAACACTCATGAAGAGCAATAAATTGATGCAGCACATTGCATGCCTTAAAACGTTACAGTAAGAAACCAGAAAATAAAAATATCTGCAGGAAAATGGCTTCGCGTCATCGAAGCAGGCCTACTAGAACTCCTGGAAACGGAATCGCAAACCGAATATTTACATGCCTGTCGAACTCAGGTGAACCATTTTTGGAAAAACCTGTTCCACTGTCGCAGCAGCTGAAATGCATGGCGGACGCTGCTAGCTTCGCCGAGCCCGAGACGACTAACTGCTCATTTCGGGTTTGCCTTGCCGCGTACCGAAAGTCACACAGACGATAAAGAACGGGTATCGAATCGACTGACGATATGGTTGCTCTTTGGAAGAAAATTCCCCTGCTGGTGGTGAGAGTACGTCGAGTATGCGTCGATTTTGGCTTGCTGTTTTCGTTCTCTCAATCATTTTGCAGTTGTAGAGCATTGTACTTACATTTTGCAGTCTCAATCTTGGAGAAATCGGTTGCAAAAGTGCTCGGGAGTCGACGGAAATCAAAGCAAGCGCGGTGCAATCATTATCTATATTGTCTAGCGGTTGCTTTGATGAGAGTGACAACAAGGCCATCAATAAATGACTTTAAGCATACAAGGGATACTTCATAAATTACAGCACGGGTTAAAGAAGAAAGAGCAAGCGGGTGGTCTTATTGCTGACACAGCTGTAACTCTTTCCTCCTGTTGACAAATCTTATAAGCAACTGTCAGCTTGCGCCGTGGCGGGTCGTTCCTCATCCTTTCACACCACCGACCACTCCATCCTGTGCGTGATAAGCATGAGCTAGTAGTACCGTCAACGGAAGTATTGAAGCAAATTGAGCAACTATTCAAATATGACACATAGCACATAGGCTTGTCCTGATAAAGGGTTCATCCACCAGTATTCCGTTAAACTAAATAAATTACAATTAACATTATATAGCATCGTAGGCGATGATCAAATGACCAACACTAGGTAGATAAAAACAAGGATGTACAGTGCCAAAGATTGGGAATGCATTCGATAGAGTTTGACATTTTTCGAGTGCAAGTCTTACAATTAGTAAAGGCCAACGATTCCAGAATCCATCCGCGAACAGTTGCACAGCAGCACTCTACCGGTGTTCCAGATCCATCGAACTTTCATTGCATTGTATTGCACAGTAAAATTTAAAAGCGTCATTGCGATGCTTGAAAACAGGCGGCGTTCTTCTCGGCCTCCGGGAACGTCACGTTCATTTTAAAGTAGCTCAACCGCTTCCTCTGTATCCTTATCGTTATTGTCCAACGATGCATCTCCGGAATAGCTCTATCATGAGAGTTATCGTTCGGGTATGGTATTTTTTTGTATTAGGGAGTACTGCTACCGCTCTCTTCTTCGATTTGTTGTTGCGTTTAAGAAGCACATGTGTTAATTCCCATCATAACATACATTTCCTTTCCGATTGATGAAATGGAGCGAGGTGGAAATTAGCTTCTACACATCGCGTGATCCACCCCGAGGGGTACGGTACAACCATAGAGGTAACTCTAAGACCAGAAGGTCCCGAAGAGAGGTGCTCAACTTCTTGGCTCAGCTCTGGTACTCTCTTCGGTCCCAAGCTAATCGATGCACCCCTCGAAATATAAGAAAATCCACGAGCCCCTCATGTTATCTGTCAAACTTTCATAGCGAATCAAAACAAACATAGTAGAGTACTAGAATTTCTACTGGAATGGGGTACGTTAATCGTTTGCTTGGGACCAATAGGCTAGTCAAGTAGTGAGGCAATTTAAAATCGTTAGTTTCGTATTGATTGTTGGTACAACTGCTGCTGCTGGTCTCGACTCGACAAGTGACAAGTGAACTGATGGTATACTATCAATTCCTGTGTTCGCTTTAAAGAAACTCGTATTGGATGACTCCGTTGTTGCCATTACAATTCACTTCGTTGATCAGGCACACCTTCCCGAAGGTCGTTTCTTGCAGGGGTTTATTTACTCTTAACGATATCTCCAATCCAAATAGATTATGCAGCCAATGAACGTTAAGGCTCAAACACGAGCGGCTTCGGGCATACTGAACTCTTCATTTCTCTCCATTGTCAGGTCGATTTGATGAATTCTGCTCTGAATTTTTGCAAGGATTTCATCTTTTCGACATTGTTCTTCTCGGAGAATCCAATACAAATAATAAATTCAAGGGTTTATCAAGCATTATGGTGGACATTGGACCATCTTGGTACGGAATTTTTTATATTTTTGGCGTTTTCTCTACATTTATGGATATTATTTTTGCTATTATTTTTTTTGTCCTTGATTTGTTTTCCGTACCAA